GTGTGTGTGTGTGTGTGTGTGTGTGTAACTTACAGGGTCCCCCTCCACCAGCTCTCCTTTGGTGTTTCGGATCACCATCACTAGCTGAGCCTGGAAGGTGATGATCAGCACCGGACCCTGGTCCATCATCTTCCCCATGGCCAGCTGCAGTGAAGGACACACAGAAACATTATTGAACAAACAAGCAAAGCATGATTCAGCATTTCAGTTCTGGCTGATAGAGACAAAGATATATGCAAGAACAGTGTCATAAGTCTGGGAATGGTATCTGCCAGACACAAAATAGGAACAAGTAAAAGCAGTGAAAACTTGCTTGTGGCTTTAAGACGTTTGCCTGACTTATACATAAATACACTTGTACGTTTTGATTTTGGAGAATACTATATACACTCTAAAACAAGCTCTTCAAATCAGAGCAAAACAACTGTTGTGCATAAAAAGGAATTCAAACAGGCGGTCTGTTTGTTGTTTTTATTCTAGGAGAAAGATACAAAGAGAGGAGCGTAAAATAAGCAGCATCTTTTAATACTCAGATGCATTCTTAACTTTTTAAGACTCTATGTTTGGTTTGTTAAAACACTGCAACCAGCCATTAGCTTTAGATAACAGCTGTGATCATGAGAACACACTTTTATTTCAGGTGTTTTGAATAATAATAATAATAGATTTAATTTGTTAGCGCTTTTACAGGTGCTCAAAGACGCTTTACAGATAAAAGAGAAGAAAAGAAAGGAACAACAAATAAATATATAGTTAAAGTTAAAGTCAAATAACACAAAAACAATCACACATGAAAAGCCAGATTGAAGAGGTGAGTTTTTGTGAGTTTTTTGAAGGTGGTGAGGTCGGTGCAGTCTCTGCACACTAAACCATATTTGCACAACGAGTGAGTGAATGGGATTCAGGCTTCATTATGAGCAGTGAGTCGTGAAGTCTGGAGAAACTCACATCAATATTGTCGATGTCCAGGATCTTAGAGTGGAAATGGAGTCCCATGGCTTTGGCTTGCTGGATTGGGTGTGCCAGCTGACTGTAGGTCTGTGAATCAATAAGGAGAGAAGGAGTTTCAATAAAAGGATGACTAACATTTGAGAAAGAGCTGCATCTGATAGATCCTCGAACAAATCAGTACGAACAGGCGTATGGTAAGTGTGTATCGACACTTAAAGCTCAGAGTGTGTGAGATAAAAAGTCTTACCGCTTCATAACACCAGTCCTTCAGCAGCTCCAGCTCCCCTCGGATCATCGCCTGCATGGAGACAGAGCTTAGTTTAAAGACCTGATAATAGAGGGCAACTTATGTGAAGTCGATCCTGACTAAATCTGTTGTTAGAAAACATTTAATATTTCTTGTCCGAAGCTCATCTGTCGATTGCAAGTTATTTCTCTACAAAGACACGAGTACCAGCGTTGTTTTGAGTCTGACATACCTCCAGTACATTAGGGATGATATCCCCTTCACACTGCTTGAGGAAAGTGTCCTTGTCAAAGGATGGGTCAGCTTTTAAAATCTCTGTTAGAACTTCAGACATCTCCGTCTTAGAGAACAGCCCACCTGAACACAGACAGGAAACACAGGAGGAGTTTTAGTGTGCTTCAAGGTAGGCTAGGTAAGAATGGAGGAACCAGCTCGAGTGCGCGAGAATTTGAAAATACACAACTGGAAAAAATCTGCCCCTTCCTTCAGACTTCCTCAAAGAGCCCCTCCTCCAACACACACGAACGCACACATGACCAATGAGGGCACGAGATAAGTTTGTGCACAGATGGAAGGCTGACATTTTAGCCGGGCCGGCTCAGATGATTGGTCGTGCTTTTCACAGCGCCACGGCTTCCACAGATGACATTTTTTGTATGTATTTATAG